CCTACTGGTCTCTTCTTGGGAGTCACCAGTACTGTTTGGATACACGTGCTCAAGGGAGCCTAGGTTACATGCCTATGTGCCAGAAGAAAGAGGCAGGGTAAAAAAAATGTGAGACTTGATGTAGGTGTGCTGTGCCTTCCAGAATGACTCACTTATGTCTGGGAAATATCCCAAAGGTAGGAAGTATGGATGCTGGGAAGCCGAAAAAAAAAAAAACCAAAAGACTTCCGGGGCCTCCCTGGTGGCACATGGATTAAAGTCTCAGCACTATCAAGCTATCACCAGCCACGGCGGCATGAGTTCAATCCCTGGCCAGGGACCTTACCCACAGGGAGAAGCAGCTCTCTCCCGTCTCACCCCACTGCTCCCTCTCAGCAGTGTATTTCAGTGAGTCTGCCTGTTCTGCTCCCCACCGTCTCTGATAAGTCCTCTCACCCTCCTGCACATATGGCCTATACCCCGGTTCTTGTACGCATAGATAAATCATTAAAAAAAAAAATTACACTTCCAGTATCAGTGTGGAAAATATGTCATGGTTGAATTGACTACCTTTTTATGCCCTTTACCATATAACATTGCGATTTCCCCAACCAAAAGTAGAGCGCCTTTCTTCTTCCTTGGCTATGTAATTTGCTTTTGCTATGGAAAGTCAGATGTGACGCAAACAGAAGCTTGAAACATACCTGGGTGTTTGAACTTGCTGTTTCCATGAGAACATGTTTTGGCCGGCGTCCTCTTGCAAGGCTGAGACACAAGCAGCAGACCCACACAACTGCAGCCAACCGGTCACTGTCATTGCCACTGCCACTACAGATCAGCCAGCCTCAGCTACTCTCCACATGAACAAGAGCCTCGGTGAGATCAGTAAATACTTGTGTGCCTCTGAGATTTTATAGTTCATTATGCAGCAAAGCTGACCAGATACATTTGGAGAATACTCTGAGCTCCACAAAGGTAATGAAAAGGTCAGCAAATAAGTGTAATAAAGCTTTTTAAAATGTTAGCAAGGAGAGTTCCATAGACAGTGAATAAAAGAATTGTTCTACTGAATGTGAGGCATGACTATATATGGAAGGTTTTCAAAATTCTGTATAGTTTTAATGGTTACAAAGAACTTCTGCAAATAAGCCTTGCCCAGGGACCCTCCAGTGGGTTCTCACAGCATCCCTATGCTAGCTAGCTCTGTAATCCATCTTCTGTATTAGAATAAAATCACCTTTTATGTGACTACTAGATTGAGAGCTCATTCTATTATACACTCGTTATCACTTTAATAGATCGCTACGATTGTCATTTTTCTGTTCAACAATCCCAATCATTTTCCATTAATTGGAATTTGAGTAAAGCGCAACGATGATTTCTGATAAAATCATTAATCTGACAGTTTAACCCGACCCCTGCTTACCTAATTTTACCTAACTCCCACCCCATTTTTAACTCACTGGTATCCTTTACATTTGATCTAAAATGTCCCACTCCTTCTGATTTTCTTCGCCTTAATAACCTGACTCTTGCCTTTTTCAGTCTCTACTTAATGTCATATTAAATGTAGGCTTCTCCGATCAATTAGGAACTTTTTGTAATTTCTCCATAGTACCTTGCCCATTGCGGTATTCCCAAGACAGAACTTAGAAATGTTGAATGCACATATCAATGTTCAACTGACTATAAAGACAATGACGTCTATATGCTGACTGCTTACGTATTCTAATCCAAGTCGCTTCCTATGACGTGCCAGTCTATGGCATAATTCCACCATCCCATCTTTTGTAGCAGTGAATACAATACTGGAAAGCACCGGTGTTCTAGTCTCATTGTCACCTGTCTGGGGATTCAATGGAAGATCAGGGCAAACTTTAAAAGCACAAAGTATAGGAGGCATGACCCAGATTTCCCAAGATTTAAGCAAGTGCTTGTTTATCAAATTCACCAGGGTTCTGAGGATTTAATAGAATTGTGACAAGACTAGGATGTAGGTACTTTCATGCAGTTCTAGGGGAAGAGCAAAACTTTCTGGAAAACTTAGTGATAGGTATTGGTGCATTCATGAACCCTAAAAAAACCACTAAAAGTTCACTTAAGTGTTTTAGAAATGTAAAAGACACACTTCTTATAATCCTCTCACCCCCTGGCACCTCTGGCCTACACCCCGGTTCTTGTATGCATAAATAAAATCTCTTTAAAAAATTAGATCAGTAAGTTTGACAATAGATCTAAGAATTGTGATGACTTAAGATACTTCCACAAATGGGTTTTCCCTAAACTAGAACCTATGGTGCATGAAAAACTGGAGAACCCAGGTAAATTGTGCTACAAGTATTGGCATGACAAGAAAAGGAAATCCAGTTTCAGAATATTAAAACTGAAACTACCCCCTCTCCTTGCAATGGAAGCAACTCAATGCAATTCCTATTGCAGTTATTTCCTCCTCAGTGTTTACTTCACATCAGAGTTCAGGCTTGGTCACAGAATAGTTAGAATGCAGTTAGGATAGTAACCAAAGCGAGGATGGTCATTTTTGCTTTATTGCTACCAGCCCTCCGATAATCATACCAAACCCTTACCATATACTGAGATCGCCAGTGTGAACTCATTGTTCTCTCTGGGAAAACTTGCTTTACCTAGGTCTTTGTATTTCAAGTCTGGCTAATGTTAGTTGAGTAGAGTCATGTATAAACTGGGCTTAAGCAGGGTGATGCCTATTTCATGCACTTGTAACTAGATCAGTTGTAAGAGCAAGCTTTTCCTATAAAGTATCGGTAATCATCTTTAGTTTGATGGTCTGTCACATCTACTGGACAATGCCATTGTATATAAAAGCAACTTTGTAAATGCATGTGAATGGGCATGGTGGTTTCAAAATAATTACAACAGGAAGCAGGTTCAATTTGGTCCACAGGGTATAGCATCACAATCTCTGGAAACTCAAAACTAACGGCTAGGTGAAAGGTTAACTGCTACCCTTCAGAAGCTGATAAATGCACACCGCTTCTGATGTTATAATGGTGAAACTCATTTTTAGATTAACAGGAATCATTAAACTCTCTCAGTCTACAACTGTTTATAAAATACCCACCAACCTCACACACTGACCAAAGTGACTAGAAAGGTAAACCGTCACATCTGCATCCCATTTATGAGCCACTACTCTCTTCAATCCCCAATATTACTACTCTCATGCACAACTCCCTCAATAAAGGGAGTTGTAACAGCTTTCATTTGACAGTCATCCAAGGTCAATGACTCAAAGGTAACTTAGTGTAACTTTAACTGTATGGAAAAGTTTCATCAAACCTGACAGATATATTTGGATCAGCTTTCTCTTCACCATCTGATTCTCCTTAAGACCCCCCAAGCGTCTTTAGTGCCAATGAACTGGCTTCAATTTAATTATAAGCCAACATTCAATATTTTTATTTCAGAGATTGAGGATTTCTTAAATGCCTCCCTCCCAAATTCATTTCAACTCTGGGATGCTGTAAATTTCCTGAATGTGCTTTCATGACTATCAAAATTCAATTAGTTCAGCAATCCTCCAAACCACCACTGCATTTGGTTTCAATAATCTCAAGTCTTACAGTTATAAGCAATGTTAATAGTGTTATTAGTATATATGAAAGTCCTTTATTTTTTTTGCCTGAAGTGGGAATTAATTTCAAGACACTTTTGATGCCATCCCCCTTCCCTGGTTTTGACATTAAGTCACTTTAAATTGCTCCTTAAACAGCTGCTTTTCAGGAACCAGATGATCACTATTATCCTCTACTTCCTTTCCTATGTTAGTTAGGAAAGGTGTCTCAACTTTTCAAGTCCATTTAAACCTAATTCATATTTCTATGTTTTCTTCAAGGTCTAGAACGTAATTGTGGTAGCAATCTTTATTAAAATTCCTCCAGATTCAAAAGTAAAATTCAGTTGCTGTTAGCTTTAAAAAGTGAACCCTTAATTGGCAAAGTAACCAGTAGCTTTATATAAATTATTTAATTGCAAGCCAATGCCGCCTGGTCCAACCAGAGATCTCGGAAATCTTTATTTCTTCCTTCACACTAATTAAAGTGGGTCTTTGGCTAGGGAAACCCAGTGAGACCTCTACCAGATGCTGTCTTGGGGCTGGCCCTACCCTCCTACACACCCACCCCCACCCCCTTCTCAGCTTTTAAACTACTCTCTCATAATGCAACTTCTGGGCCACATACTAAAACTTGAAACAATTGTCTAATGAGAATAATTTTTATTTTCCAAATGGGCGGAGAACAGATAGAAAAAATGTAGCTGAATGGTGTTAAGTACTTCTGGGTGCTTAACACAAGCAAGGACAGATTTCCATGTGTATGTAATAGCTACCAAAAGCATGATATATCTGAGACACTGTTCCCAGTGAGTTTGACAAGTAAGTGCAAATGTTGCCTAAGCCACCAGCATATACAACCATCTGGTTACTCAGATCAGAGGTTTTTAAAAAGGTTTTCCGACTATGGGTTGAGATTGCCCAGGCTCAGATTCCAGGATGGTCACTTTTGGCACTCAGTTATTTGAACTAAAGTATATGCTATACTACAATTGCTACACACTAAAAACATGCAAAGTGCTCTATAAAGTACTGGGACTTACTAAACAACATCTAAGTACTAAAAAAGGTCAGTAGGTTCATAAAGCTTAATTACCTGCCTACAGAAATTCCCCTAGAATTGGCCATCGAAACAAAACTAAACTGATTAGTAATACATGTTTCAGGTATACCCTGGGTCGCGTGGAAACTAAAATTACTTAACAGAAGTCATTCTGAAGTAGAGAGAATTGTTTCAATGCCTAGTGACTCACTCTCACTGAATTTCCCATAAACATGTAGTATGTATTTCCAAAACCAGCAAAAATTATGTATCTCAGGCCAAGGGATACTGCATTAGGAACTAAAAAGTACGAAAGAACCGTAACTGTTAAGTATCAAAACAAAAAAAAAAATCTTCTTTGTAAACTGAGTTGTACCAGCCTTTTTCTCATTTCATTTGCGTTTATTTAAACACAGTTCTCAAAACATTTGAGTAAATTGGGCCTCCTTTGGTAAGCAAAGGACCTGAAAATAATATTTAAAAAATGAACAGGCAAAGTCTTCAGATCATCCACAACACAGGTGTAGTGTTCCCTTCTCTTTCCCCAAACTCTGAGCACCCAAGTTTTTTCATATAATCTAAGAGCTAGAACAACAAGAGTACATTGTGGTGGAATGTATTGTCACTTGCTGATAACTAGGTTGAAATACCATTATCCCCTTGTAACAGCTTTAAGAAATAGCCTTTTAAAGGCATACACTGTGTAACTCTTCTTATTCCCTGCTATATATAATACAGATTACATAAAGGCTGACAATTCCACATTTATATAAGCATTAAGCATTTGCTGTATTGAAAGATCTTTAGTTCTAATACTAGCAGTACAGAGTTACAGAGCGTAATTTTTAACACTTAGTTGCAGGAATATTAAGTATGGTATGTATCATGGACTGGAGGAAAACGGGCAATTTTTTTTGTCCTGAAATTTACTACTGACAACCTAATCTTAACAGTTCTGCTAAGCATTGATATGTTAGAAAGAAAAGTAAAAATCAAACTTTATTGTTGCTTTTTGCCATTTGGTAGCATTTTACACACAGACGCCGATCTTCAGAATACCCTGGATTCAGTAGAAAAACCTTTTAAATGAAGTTTTGTACAATAGAAACTTCTCAGCAGTCAAAATTTAGACTGTAAAAAAATACATGCAAAACATACTTTTCTGAAAACACTTAACTTTGAACAAAGCACCGAACTACACAAATGCAGAATGAAAACAGCATTTCAACTCCACCAAAAGTAGTCATCATAAAAGGTGTAAAAGTCACCTAACTTCACTAGGCACTGTTCACTTTTTAAACAGGAGACAATAAAAAATATTGTCCACAAACAATATCCCAACTGTAGGGCATGTTTCAGAATGTCTTCAACTTCATGCTTTAATAGCGACCTGAGAAGAAAAGAAATATGCTTCAGTGTCAAGATAATTAACAGAAACAGCAGCAGCAAGGGAGAGCTGAGGCTTTAGACCCTCAGATGTTTTCAAAGGGTATTAAACTTACAAAGAGAAGTCACAAATGGCAACAGAATATACATTTCCTACATTAATTAGGTCTAAAAGTAGGATTCCAAGAAATGTTCTCATATACTTTTCCTTTACCCTAGACACAAAATGTGGGATATGTTTATGTGTGCAAAATACAACTATTTGAATTAATCCAATCTCTGTCAAAGGAACAGTTGCTGTAGTTTGGTAAGCCAGGAAACATCATACCATTACAATATGTAAAGAAACTCATTATCAGGCTTCCCTGGTGCAACAAGGGGTTAAGTATCAGCACTATGAAGCCATTGCAGCATGAGGTCGATCCCCAGCCAGGGAGCTAACTCACATGGCACAGCAGACCCCTCCCTGGCTTGTCCCCTGCTCCCCTCAGCAGTATATTTCAGTAGATCTGCCTGTTCCGCCAACCACTATGTCTCTGGTGAATCCTCTCACCCCCATACCTCTGACCTACACTACAGTTATCTATGCATAAATAATAAATCTTTTATTTTTTTATATTTATTTATACAAGAACCGGGGTAAAGTAAAGATTCGAGGGAGGGTGAGAGGACTCACCAGAGACAGAGGGGAGCAATAGGCAGACTGACGAAATACACTGCTGAGGGGAGCACTCCATGTGGGACCCTCGCCGGCCAGGACTGAACCGGCGTTGCAGAGGCTGCGGACAGCTTCAGAACAGCGCTCAACCGCCTAAGCCACCAGGGGAGGCCCCAATCTTTTTTTTTTTTTTTTAAGAAAATCATCAGAATAACTTACGAGGCGAGTATGATCGAGATCTGGAACGTGATCTGTATCCTCCACGACTATAGTAAGGAGAAGGTGACCGTCTTCTGTAAACAAATGTCAAGATAGTCTAACTCTCCACAGATTACAAATGATACACTTTTATCATAATCACAATCTATCAGGTCTAATCCCGCCATATTGATCCGACAATCTGCTAACCTGTCATTAAGATTCATTTATAGTATCTAAATGAACTTTTATGCAATCTAGTTCTGAATGCCACTTATAATTTATCAAAATACTTGTAAAGTGGGGTTTTTATGTGAGCCATACTGTTTTACAGATTGGAAATTCTCTCCTGGCATACCGGTAAATCTGATCCCTGTCTTGAGCAGCTCTCCATCCTCCTCCTCCTCCACCTCCTCCTCTGTAAGAGCAGAAAAACAACATACATTCATTTTTGCAAGTTCTTCTGAAATATACCATTAATGCAGAAAAATCAAAGAACAGAAATAAAAACTCGTTTCTTGTAAGTGAAATGATAAGACATCCCTTTTTGCAAATGGGCCTATAGCTCTCTCTTGTGGCTGGAACAAATTTGATAAAACAAGTAACATTTCTAAATAAATGCTTGAATGAATTAAAATGTGGTGCAGGGGTTAGTCTCAGTCAGCGCAATCAAGCTATCACCAGCCACTGTGGCATGGGTTCTATCCCTGCCCAGGGAGCTGACCCATATGGTACAGCAGACCTCTCCTACCCTTGCTGGCTATTCCCCTCAGCAGTGTATTTCAGTCAATCTGCCTGTTCTGCTCCCCACTGTTTCTGGTGAATCCTCTCATCCCTCACAACCGAGGTCTTATATGCATTAAAAAAAAAAATCTTGGGCCTCCCTGGTGGCGCAGCAGTTGAGCATTGGGTTGCGAAGCTGCCCGCAGCCTCTGCAGCGCTGGTTTGATTCCCGGCCACCGGGCGAGGGTCCCACATGGCGCGCAGACCTCTCCTGCCACCCGCTGCAGACCTCTCCTGCCACCCGCTGCTCCCCTCAAACAGTGTACTTCGTTGGTCTGCCTGCTCTGCTCTCTGTTCTGGTGAAATCTCTCACCCTCCCGCACTTCTGACTGTACCCACTGCTTGTATAAATAAATAAATAAATAATCTTTTTTTTAAAAAAAAATCTTAAATCAATATATTAAAATATTCACCTCTCACTTGCTGTGGTCAATGCATACTACACAAAATTACATTTTGGCTAGGGAAGGCCTAAGTTGCCTGCCTTGCCAAAATACACTGTCACTTCATTTTTATCTGTTCAAGTACTCTCAAAACATAAAGAAGTGTTTTTCAAGTATAACAAGCATTTTCCTAATAAACCCCCTTAGCTATTATAATATTCTCTGTTGTCCTTTCATAATTACTTCACTCTAAGATTCACCCCCATGTTCTATCTATCGACACATTAGATACTTTTAAAAATTGCTTTTTATAAAGCGGTGTTTTAAAACTCTACTCCTGGATTTTTTAAGTATAAAAGGGAAAGCTTCTAGTAAAGGCTAAAACTTAGGTACAGTGGTGCTTTATAAGAGTTGATGCTTCCTTCGAGTTCTTGGCAATGTTAATCTCCACGGTTAACTCACCTGTATGATCTGCTATAGTAATCCCGATCATCGTAACCTCGGTCATAGCCTCTGTCATAGTAATCACGACGTCGTGAGCTGCCACTGTAAACAGTAATTTAATATCTGTTGTTAAAAATGGATCAGATACTTATGAGTAGCAGTAGCAGAACATGTGACTATCTCATTTGGGTCTTGGGGGTTAACATACAGGCCACACAAGCAAGCTTATGGACACTAGACAACTGTTTCAACCTCTTTATCCCTTTTCCCTCAACAAAAAGATATCTGCTAGTAACTATGAATCTCCAGGCAATGCTTTCCTACTACTATGTTAATTAGAAAATGAATACTTTTACCCCATGAAGTCACTTATGCTGAATTAAGTCACCTTTGCCTTTTCTCTTCTCACATACAATGTATACAAGTAATTACCAGTGCTTTTATGGTTAAGGAGGCAGATTCTTACTAATTTGTGTTCAACAACAACTCAAGTTTGGTAATCCCACATTTACCCCAGAGGAGAGTAAAATACATTATGTATGAGGAAAGTGGTACCGAGAAAATCTTTAGTCTACAGAAGTAGACTGAAAGTAGTACATTACAAACCTCTTCCTTGTAAGTGCACTGTATTTAAAGTAAATGAATTTATTTTGGAGCTTTCAGTCAGTAAAATATTCACTGGTCATAATGACCAAGGAAGGAAGCACTGTCTCACATTTCAAAACACTGAAGGTTTAGGTTTTCCAATGCTTAAGGGAATAAAAACTTACTATGTCCTTAAACAGCATTTTTATAAACTGCCCCATCCCCATTATATGGTTTGGTTTTCATTATCAGGAGAAATGGCCTAATCAGTAACATTTCATTACCCAGCAAAGCAAAATATATGGCATTACTTTATGATTAAGTGGGATGCGGTCTACTTAATCACGAGGATCAAAACATTTAGTACAAATAGTGTTTCTACTAATGTACTATACTGAATAGTTTTAGCCAGTGAAAAGAATGATTTTCGTTGTGGTGTAATTAAATGAAATGCCAGAGTCCCCACACCCCCCATTCCTTGGAGGAAGTGAACAAAATTAACCATTAAAATTAAACTTACTAGGTAGGTCTCCCCATGTAAATTCCTGGTGTTGGTGTATGTGGTCTTTTTGTTATAGAGAAATCAACTCTGATTCTACGTCCATCAAGCTCCATTCCATTGGCACGCTCCTTTGCCTTTGAAAGACAGATACATAAGTAGTTATATATATCACGGATATACAGTTGTTATTCAATAACCATAAATGACCTCCACCAAAAACTTAAACCAGACATATTACTCCCTTTTACTTTTTGGTGCATTAAATTCTTTTAACGTTGACCATAACACATGTCCTACATCTTAGTAGGATTCCTTCTTAGCAGCAGGTTAGTAGCTGCTCCCCCTAGTAAATTTATTTGTAAAAGCTAGCAACAGAAACTCAGAATTTAACCAAAAAGCTACAAAGGCTGATCTAACCCACAAAATACTTAACATGATTATTATGCCCAATTATAAATGTGACACACTATTTCTATTTTACAGCATTATTTAGTTGACAAATCCTGAATCCCCCAATATTTAAATGGCTAGGAGGAAAAATGAGTTCAAAATATTTCATGATAAAGTAACATGAACATAGCTCCACTGATTTACATGTCTACGGCTTCTTTTTGCTTTACAACAGCACAGCTGAAAAGCTGTAACTGAGAGCCTAAAGCTCACAAAGCCAAAAATATTTATGGTGTAATCCTTCACAGAAAAGTTTATGGATGTCTCTGGAAGCAAAAAATGTTAAAGAAAAGATGAAGGAAGCTTGCAAGTAGTACACACTAACACGGTATGTACTTAAAAAAAATTCCATTTCAGAAACTTGAGCATCTGGCTCAGAACTTATTTGAGGAGGGAGAAATAGTAGATGAGGTCACCTTTAAAATAGTTTATGGCTTTCAAATGTTCAGTTTTATAAAGAACTCTAAGATAATTTTATCTAGAGCAATGTGTTTAAAGAACAGATTCACACCCTCAAATTTTAACTTTAGTATCTATATCAAAACTTATGTTGCTTCAAGTTAAATATAAAAATCTGTCACCAAATATATAATCAAAACCACTTCCTTTTTCCTAAGACATAACTTTTACCTTTAAAATGTTTTGCTCCACTCTAGAAGATAGCCAATGGAAACAAAGATGAAATATTGTAAGCCCTAAATATATGCCATTATCTTCAATAGCTTTTGTATGAAGCGGTATGTTGGGACTTACTTCAAATAACACGGTGGGTGCTGTGTTGGGCCACAAAGGGGAGGGGGGTGGTTAATGGACCAACTGCTATAGTTCTATTTCTGAAAAAATAAATTCAAAGTGCTAAACACTCCAATACTTGCTGCTATAACAATGTCCTTTACTCAAACCACAGTTGCACACTATTTACGCCATAAAAGCAAAACGGGCTTTACCCTAGCACTTGTTCATCAGTACTCTGGAATTAATAGAATTGTATTTTATACAGTAAGACATTACTTACTTCCTTGGCATCATCTACATTTTCAAAATATACAAAGGCAAATCCTCTTGAACGTCTAGACTGTTGGTCATATACAATAGACACATCAGCAATGGGGCCATATTTAGAGAACACTTCCCTTAGATCTCTCTCTGTAGTGTACAAGCTCAATCCAAATACTCCAAGACAACAGTTGGGATCAGGATTTGCCTAGAAATAGAAAATGGGTCTTTAAAACTTAAAAAATTTGTTCTAAAGTTTAAAAAAAAAAAAAAAACCCAGACATACACAAATTAGTCAAAAAATGTCACTATCAATTAAAGCAGATAATCAATTAAATACTTTCGAAAATATTGCTAGCAAGTGTATTTGAGAATGGGCAGAAGAGACTACATAAGAAATGACTTTTCAATTTTAGAGTTAAGTGGGGAATTAGGGGCTCAGATTAGTGAAAAGTAAACTGGCATCCTGTTTGGAGACTGAAGGGCAATCTGCTAAAGCAATCACACATTTTAGGAACTTCTAAGCAATGTGCACACATTTACAACATCCAACAGAAGGATGAGAAATAGCATTTTGAGTCAGAGAAAAAGGATAAATGATTAAAATACTGATATAATGCCCATTCAAGGAAATGTTCTGCACTGTAAGAGACAACAGAAGGGCATGCTCATCTTGATTCTTTACTTGGAAAAACCGTATCATGGAGTTCACATATACACGTAAGTGAAGCTATAGGTGTATCCAACGCTTCTTGCAATCATTACAATAAAGAAAAAGGACAGGCTGCTGATATTCTAGTTGCTACAATGAATTTACCAAAACGTTTTATTCCACTAGTTTTTTGTTATGTAGACAAATTCCATTCCACTCACTCAAATACCACCCCCCATTTGGAACTTCTCATGAAGGTAAGAGAAGCCTCAATACAAGTAAGTTTTTTTTGCTACCTTAAAGTAGAATGCCCCATTTGGTATGACTTGGTAGTTATTTTGTGTGTCTGGGAAGGCTCAAACTTTCCCCATATAATTTTATATGAGAAATAAACACTCCCAAGCTCAAAACATAACTTAATACCCAAAGTAAAATAAATACTCATGCTTTACTAGTACGGGAAAACCTATACCTGAATGGAAACACACTTTTTTTCAATGGGAAAGTGAACAGAACGTTTTGTAAAAAGCATATTACATCCAAAAAGACCTCAGTAACAGTACTACATGCTTTTGTAATGGCGCAATCAATGTGACAATGTTTTGTTTAGATGTGACTGATATGGGGCCTCCCTGGTGGCACAGCGGGTTGAGCACAGCACTGTGATGGGTTCAATTCCTGGCCAGCCTGGGAGATTCCCAGATGGCACAGCAGACCTGTCCTGTCGCAACCGCTGCTCCCCTCAGCAGTGCTTTCAGTCTGTCCGCCTGTTCTGCTCTCCACTGTCTCTGGTGAATCCTCTCACCCTCCTGCGCCTCTGGCCTGTACCCCAGCTATTGCATAAATAAAAAATAAAAATCTTTAAAAATAAATAAAAAATAAATGTGACTGGTAAGGCAACCTCTGGACATCACTTTGAAGATAGCTTAAAAATAAAGGAAAGGACTGTCTTAATATGCTTATTCAATGCGAAAACTCCAGTGTAAAATAATATAAAGTCCTAACTTAAAAACAACAAAAAATTTGTGTTATGTAAAGTGCCTATAGTTGGGTCCACAACTTTAAAACCACAATTTTTTCACCTTACCCGATTCCCAACATGACGCCTTCGAGTAGACATGGGAGAATGACTGTGGCTATGCCGTCTTCGATAGTCTCGACTGTAAGACCTGCTACGGGATCTTCTATGGGAGCGGGACCGAGAGCGTGACCTTGTGTAATGCCTCCGAGAACTTCTTCTGGATCTAGACCTGCAAGACAAAAGCTTAGAGGTTATGACTGAATAACCGACAATAAGACACAGCTTTCAATTTTTAAAAACATCTATTCTAGAGTTACACATCAAAAGACGGAACACAAGCCAGGCATTTACTAACAAATGGTGCCAAGTGGAATCTATACTTGCTGCTCTATTGTCTTACTTCAACTCTACAAAAAGTTGCAAAAAACCACCACTATCTCTCTTCTAACATTTCCTAAAATAACTAAGGAAGAAAGGGAAAATTATCTTTTGAAAATCATGAAAACATAGTGTTTCATAGCTTGATCTGTGTTCTCTTCAACTCAGAATACCACCCTGTTTTCTGCTCCTCCAATTATGCCCACCATTCATTTAGATAAAATCACCATCATAGTAGCTTTCTCCAGCCACTAAAATCAACCAATTGTTCTTAATTAGAGTGAGCATTATCAATTGTGATATAAACCAGGACAAGTTGTAAGAGAGAAAAGAGGTACTCTATAATCAAGCCTGATAACAGGCATAAACTGGGGCCATACCGGGCAAACCAAGACGTATAGCCTACCTTTGACCAACGTTAAAAAAAAAGAATGCGCTCTGGTGAAGTATTTTTGTGGTAAAATACATGTATATAATACTAGACCACACCTATTTATCAAGAATTGCAGTTACTGAAAGCCATATTCTCCAATATATTTGCCATACTAATAAAGCAGCATACTTAAACTCAGTGAATCCTTGCAACAATTATGAAGAGTTGGTGCTATTACTAACTTGCCTTTTATAGAAAAGAAAGCTAAGGTTGAAAAAGGTTAAGTAATCTGCCCAAGTCAGGAAAAAAAAAATAGAGTAAGATTTGAACCCTAACTCCAAAAGCCCAGGCTCTTAACCACTTAGTCTTCTCTCCCAGAACTTACAATTAAGTTCATTTCTAGTACCGGTATTAAATAGGCCAACAAATGATCTAACCCTCTCTAGCTTCCTAATTTACAAAGCACACACCAATTTCACAGCTAAGAGTAACAGAAGAAAATCCCAAGACAGTCTTTCTTACCTAGATTCAGATCTGGACCTGGACTTTGATCTGGAACGCCTGGAATCTTCCTTGGAGCGAGACCTTGCAGGGGTATGCCTTGCAGATTTCCCAGATCCATGAGCACTTCCACTTCTGGAAGCAGAACGGGATTCCTACACGCAGATGTCAAAAGTTTAATTTGTATACTTTCTGGGCAACTTTAAAAACAAATAAGCTGCTGTGAGGTAAATGGTGAGGGAAAGCAATCCCCTTCCAAGATAAGAAAACACAGGTAAGGGCAGGAACTGAATATACCTGATATTAATAGTTACATTGCTCCAACTGACATAAGTCAATTAACTTGACCTTTCCACCTTTTTTGGAGCAGGGATTAAGAGTTAACTGACCCCACTCTTCAGAAAGGGGTGCCAAAGCCAAGCAGTTAAGGGAGCTGTCCAAGGACTGTGTTTCGGGAACATTACTCCATTGAGACTAAAGAAAGAACCTTATTAACTATGACACCTACACCTTATACCTATTTCAATCAAGTAACAATCAACGAAACCAAACCCTATGAAATTCATAAAACTTACTTTTAAAATGCCTTAAAAAAGTAAGATCTCACCTTTTCAAGTTGTACTTATTGTTGAGTGGAGAGACAAGGATGATGTTTCAAGCCCTACCGAAATAGAAATGTAATGGAAATAAAGGACTAGCTTTTGAAGGACACTTGACTGTTAAGACCCTATTACATCTAACCAGTGGGAAGCCACTAAGATCCTTAAAGAACCAAATAGAACTACAACAGAGAAGCAGTTAACTCTGCAGAATCACTAGAGAAAGTACCAGAGATCTACAGCTTCCTCAGGTAAACGGAGATGTACCAGAGTAAACAGATGGAAAACTGGGAATGATTAAGATTGAAGTTATGTAAGACACACTAAAACCACAATAGATTAATTCATAGGGCCCAGAAGCAACCAAGTTCAGGGACTGTATGCAAAAGGCAAAGTTTACATATATACAATCCAAAATTGGGACTAGCTGCATAGGTGACTGGCATCAAAAAAGTCTTCTAAAGAAACTAGCCAAGGAATGAATTAACAGGACTAGTTCATCCATGATCCTAAGGAAAAGTCAATTTACCAGAAGCAGCACACAAATATAGCAAGCAATGGAACTATGGAAAGCTTTGCCAAGGAATCAAAACAGAAACGTAAGACAGAACCAAAGGAGAATCCAATACCTAAAAAGACAATCTTACCCATCTGAAAATTAAAAGGCATAAAAAAAAATTGCTGACTCTTCCCACCCAAGACAGAGTGAAATGGTCAATCTTAAAAAAGGACACTGCATTAAGTCACTGTAGTTATCAATGTTGGAACTGCTGGACAAAAGTTATCAGAAGAGACCTTTCTATCTTGGTAGACCTTCTTGAAGGAAGACACAGGTTATTTTAAACTACAGCCCAAAACATACATTCTGTGATTTATAGCATATGGAGAAAATGTGCAAGATTCTTCCTATAATGCTCAAGGGATAATTTTTTTTAATGTTATGCAGAAGAAACAAATTAAGACTTAAAGATTGAAACAAGGAAGAGTAACTCAGCAAAGTTAAAATGAGTTCTGGTCTCCAGAACTAAAACAATTACTGAAACTTCAAATTTATACAGCCATCATAAAACATGGTGTGAAGGGGCATCATGCAACAGCCTGCCCTCTCACTCCCTTTTAGTGACTGCACAGACACGCAAAGAAAAAAATGGTTCTCTTCATTACTCTTCATTATTAATAATAGCTGACTTTAACATCAAGGGCTGGCTGAAAGATGCACTGCAGCTCCTGATAATCCCTTTCCTTTCCTGGCAATTATTCTGGACACTGGGACATTTTACCTTTACTTTGACAAAGTTCTCAAAAATGGGGGTAGTATCTGCCACAGGCAAAAACTATCTAAAAGAAAGTAGAAATAAGGAACCCAAAAGTTACGAAGGCTTTGTTTACTCCCATGGCACATTATTTCATAGAATGATTTTAAACCTTTAATGGAAATCTGAGCAAACAGTGATCTAGAAAGGAAAGCAGGGGAGAAGACACTCTTGGATACAAAGATGCCTTGGCTAAGATGTCTTAGTGTAGGAGATAAAGATACCAATGAAACTATTCTATGAGTATTAAAAAAAGGAGGATACCAAAAAATCAAGATTCCTTTTAAACCTCTTGCTTAATTAAACAGAAGTCTTATTCTAAGCTAAGATGCTATGCTAATCAGTCCACTAAGGAAGAGAGCACTTCTAGACTAGAACATAAGACTAACAAACCCCCCCTTATGAAATTTTAGGTCAAAGATAGTTATCTCCAACTATAAAATGTTACAACTCAACCTGATGTAACCTAGCCATGCACAAATATACACATTTTTCAAGCAACCACTTCTTAGACTAGAAAGCAGAAATTTTCCCTTCCACACTGACACTTGGTTTTCTCACCCAGGATACTGTAGAAGTCAAACCCCTTTGTAGTTACATTGGTCATGCAAAGAAATATATGCAAAGAAATTTAGTCTAGAAAATATGAGACTTGAAACTATTAGTCAACTGTTAAATGCCTAACATTAACTTTCAATCTTAATCTATAGGTAAATCTACAAAGAGCAGCTGGGAAAGCCCCTAAAAAAAGAAAAGAAAGTCCAAGTCCACTCTTAAAACTGAAAAAAACCAGAAATGTCAACACATTAAAACCCTACCAAAAAGTAGCACTAGCCCGATATCAATACCTCAAGGAAAAGGATCATAAACTTAAAAGTTAGCATGAACAAAATAGTCAGAAATTCCTGAAAAAGTCAAGGACTCACGATCTTATGGAACAAAACATTTTAATCTATACACCTTCCTAATCTAAGAATATTTCAGAAAACTCTTTGAAAGAAATGACAGAAGTGGGAGTAACCATATAATCATTACTTTTCTCCGGTGTAATTAAAAATACCTAGAAGCGGCAAATTAGATTTAGACAGTGGCTTAAAGAGAAGTATACAGTTTAATCTACACAGGTTGAAAAATTACAGGTTCCTTTAGTCGGTTAAGAACCAATTCTTAAAAGCACCAGACATTTATGATGCTATTTAAGTCTCACCCATTTAGTCAATTTCAGAAGCTTTATGCTCCGTGTCCATGATTTTTTCCTTGGCAAAAGCATCTTCCTGAAACCTTGTTTCTATGATCATCTCAGCTCTACCTGCCAATGGCATTAATCAGCCTTCTTGAGGTATTGTACTTCATTGTCTGTGCCAGAAGAAGCATGTCCCCCCCCACCTCCACTTCCTTATCTCCCCAAAGGCCAGTGAAGTAGTGAAGACACTCTTGGGGACAAAGAGACCTTGGTTAAGGGAAAAAAACTGGAGTGGATGATACCGTCCACTAGCATCCATGTATTTTTGCTTCATGTCTATATACAGCTTGAGTCATATAGTCAATTCCAAACTGCATTCTTCTCCTTGGAGGGCTATCAGGACTTTTCTCTTTTGAACCCCAAGGATCTTTCAGTCATCCACTTCCTTTTTACCTCCCTGCTCTACCTAATCTGTAATGTATTAATCTATTAGCTTATATAAAGAAATTTTACAAATCAGTATTAAGGCAACACAAATGCTAAAATACTTTAACCACCTATAAGACATAGGAATAAAAAGTACAAACTACACACTTACTAGGCCCTACACTCTTAAAATAATGCAACCTTTAGGAAATGTCATGTCACTTTTCCTAAGAGATTTAAGATCTGACAACTCTCAAAGCTTTTTTTTTTTTTTAAAAAGGTTGTCTTTAGGAAGGAGAAGTGACACTCCTGGCTTTCCCACAGGGTAGAAGACAGCTGTTGGCTGGCTACTACTACTTATTGACACTTTCCTTGTCTCATCCAACTGAAAGTTAACATTATACCAGTCACTTGACTCTTCTATTCAGCTAAAACAAAACACACAGAAAGGAAATGACAGAACTACAGGTTTTATTTTCCCACTGGTTGTGGAAGTGGGGTCCAGAACAAAGTTACTCTATGTAATCTATACCTCTTCACATTCTAACTGTTGACAGTAGAAAAGGGAATAAGCTGATTCCTGAATAAAGAATCTGCTACTATTGTCACTGTAAGTTAGATTTTCCCGTAACTTGCATGACCCATCTTATTCTAAGGAAAGTCAACTTATTTTTGGTAATAAGTTATACAGCTGGAAAAGGCACCAAACAAAAGAATTAAGAACCAGCCATATGAATTTAGCAAAAACATTCCCTTTAAAGTTAGGGCCCAAATGGCCTGGTTTCCCACTAATGCCACCTGGAAAGTGATGCTTTCATAAATGCCTCAAAAACTATCCTGTTCAATACTTTATTTGGATGTTGGGGGTTTGGACACATCGCCTTCCCAGTAACATTCTTTAGTAAAGCTTTGACAAACTTACGAAACACTTTACTATCACTGCTCAGTATTGAAGGAGAGGGGTCAGTGCATTAAAATTCCAAAGGGGTGGGGGTGGCAGAGACCACCAGTTCCAACTCTAGAGGTAGGCACTGTTGCCCCAGCATCAGCAAAGTTAGAGGAAAAGTCTAGAGGGGACAACACGAAGTCAACTGTTACCCATGCTTGGAGACCTCATTCCTGCCTGATATTTGACTACAATAGATTATTTTTTAAAATTGCATTCAATCATTTGACTAAGAGGTTAAAATTAGAATTACCTAATTTAAACGTTTCCCCTGGAAGGCACTTCTTTACCCTGTATATATTTTCTTCTATTAAACAAATAATGCATGCATGTTTAGCAAAATATACAGGGACACATAAACAGACTAGTAATTACTTAGCGTAGTGCTTTCTGATTCCAGATTACTTCTTATCTTAACTTCATTTTTATTTCTTTTCTTCATTCTTCCGTTTCAAATTCTGACTTCTTTCATCTTCCCCACTTCACACAAATTGCTCAATATTCTACAAGTGGGACTTCTGGTCTGATAATTAGCATGCATTCTTTCTTTTATTTTTTCAAATTTCAGCTTCACTTATTCCTGAGCTTCAAATACTCATTTATAAAACTTGTCAAATGACGACTTCCGCATTTTCCTTCTTCAACATTAACCTTAATAGAAAAAGAACAGGATGAAGAATATTTTAAA